GCTTCGCACTTGAAAGCGTCGTAGAGTATGACATGGCCGGTGGTTGAGGGTGAGGCTGAGGCTCCTGGGGGAGCATGTGAGGGTGGAGAAAAGGGTGTGTTTTTGTTTGTTGTGGCCGGCATAGGATAGGCGAGGTAGCACCGATCAGAAGGTGACAGTGATACAATGGCTGAACGGAGAGGTTAGCTAGTAGCTACAAGGGATCGTGAGAAGCTCTCAAGCGCGGGTGGGACAGCATACCGTGAGCGTTCGGGGATGTCTCTATTGTATAGAGGAGCTTCATGTTGCTGATATCGTACACATATATCTGTTCCTCCAAAACGACAATCAACCGTTTCCTGTTGAGCCGGACTGCAAGCACGCTGGTTGGGAAGGTGAGCTCGCATATTGTAGATTGCCTCTGTACAAGCACCCTCTAGCGTCAGCTCCTGTGATCTTGAGAAGCACGGCCAAGTTCACCTGGGAAGTTCTAACCTTGGTGTTTGTGATTCGGAGTTGTCGCGGGGACAGGATAACAGCAACTAAAGACGTTGAAAACAGCATCTCGATGATGGCAATATCGTTACCTTTGTGCTCGTAACATTTTCCGAATGGGTCACAGTTGTATATTCGGTATCCATTTCTGGTACCGACCGCGAGGCAGGAGTAGTCCTGATTGAAAGTGACGAAGTTCATCTTTGAGGCAGCCAGGATTGCGGTCGGTGTTTTGCTGCTGAGTATGGGTCGTGCTGCTGGTTGGTGATGGGGCCTTGGGGAGCGGAGATGGCGGTGCCTTCGTGTTAAAGCTTGCAGGTGGTTTCTCACCCGGTTTTAGCTGCGACCTTCAAGCGGGATGGATCATTTGTCTGTGGCCGCACTCACTCCAGTTTGTTTTTTCCGGGTAAACTTTGGGTACGATCGCGAGACTGCTGAGTATAACAAGGTGTAGATATGCAGCAAGAGCTATACGAGTTGATGATATGATAAGCAGGCAAGTCCGGCCTTTGTCTGGGCGCGGGGATGAGAGGTACCGCGGGCGCTGCGCAGATCCTGGACTCTGCCCCACACGGGCGAAAATGCTTTTTTGTATAATCTCATGAGCTCGCGACAGATCCTGCGCCCTGCAAAATGGCAGGCGTGAACTCGGAGAAGGAGCGTATTCAGGGGGTATGTTGTGTCACCCGTTTCACCCTTTTCCTCCGTGCCACAGGCTTCGAATTCTTTTCGTGCTGATAAGTTCCTGGCTTCCAGACAAACGATAGCAGCATCGTTTCAAATTACTCTACAGAACAAATATATGCCTCAGATGGACACTCATCGTATTTCACGCCCTTCGTTGGAATCGACAGGGTTCGCCGGAGATCCCCACTCATAAACCGGGGTTCCTGGCTGCTGATGCGATGCGTTGAACATGTTGTCCAAAGCTTCCTAACAGAATGCTCACCCGGGGCAAAAAAGGTTGTGGTGAACCTGGGATGTGGGTAGTCAGTTGTCCTGCTTTCAATACCAAATGAATAACAAGGTTTATTTATTATTATACCCAGGCACTGTTGTGGATTGTGGGGACGTCGCTGACAGCTTTTAAGTGACCCACTACCTTTCGAATTTCTTTCTCAAGGCTTCCAGGACAACATCCTCTACGTAGATATCGATTACCCCGCCGTCATATCAATCAAAGCTCAAAAGGTTGCATCTGATCCTCAGCTTACGCCTCTTCTCCACAATATTCAGCAGGAAACCGGTCCTGCACATCAACCCCAAGTCCGAATTCGGAGTGATGAATATCTCGCTATTGGCTGTAATCTCGAGCAACTCGATTGGCTTAACGCTTTGTTCGAGAAGGAAGGCATTCTAGACTGTGAAATTTTGTTCACTGCAGAGGTGTCTGTAACATATATGAGGACAGAGGCGGCGAATGCCTTAATCAAGTGGGCTGGAAGCCTTCCAAATGGTTTCTACATCCTCCTGTCTTGGGGCACAGCTCGGGACATTGTGCTGATGATTTTCTTGTGGCTGATAGCAAAGTTCAGTTTTCTGGAGCAACTCATTCCTGATGGGCCTGATCATCCGTTTGCTAGAACCATGCTGAAGCATTTTGAGTCCCTCAAGACTCCATTACAGTCTGTACGAGCTTATCCTACTCTCCAAAGCCAGGTTAAGCGGTTTATGGCCTATGGATGGGAGAATGTCCATGCATCTGATCTACTAGGGTTCTGGGCCAACAAGATGAACAACAGTGAAAAGGACCACCCCTGGAGATGTGAAGAATTTGATGAATGGGAGGAATTTTATCTATTTGCACAACACTACTGTTTACTACTTGCGCAGAATCATGGCACAGACAATGATCCAAATACTCTGTTCTTCAAATCTGTGGCAACAAATATCAGTAAAGGTGGGGAGAGCTGTTCATCATGGCAGCTCTGCTCCGATGGGTTGGTTGAAGAGTTGGTGCCACTTGTATATGCAAGTAGCGGGGACTTTCATGCGAAAGTGATACCGACTCCATCCAAAAAATTCTTGAGCAGGTTCGGTGCCGCAGAAGCTTTGAATGAAAGCGCAATTATGCACTATGGTGGTTTGACCGTCGCTGGCCGTACCAATGAACACATAGTCATTTCTTCAACAAGCTTATTCGCACAAAAACCATACGGGGACCATTCTCCAAAGGCCAGGATGTGTCACACTTTGACTAAAATAGATGAGAACATACATTTGCTTTTCGGAGGCCGTACAGCCCCAACTAACGTGCTGGGTGACACATGGCTCTATGGTAGTGGCAAATGGAAGCAATGGCAATACCCAGGAGAGCAGTGGAGACTATTCGCATCTGGACCAGTTTTTCCTAGGCCCCGATCTCGTCATTGTGCCGTTGCCAATAAATCTAGAAAAGAGGTTTTAGTATTTGGTGGCATTGGAGAAGGAAACGAGGTGCTAGGGGACTGGCATGTCTTCAACTTAGAGAAGCAAACATGGTCACAGGTAATTGTTACTAATGCACAGGGATCTAATGAAAGGACCCCGCCTCCGAGGTTCGCAGCTTCGATGTGTACTATAGCGGATGGAGTGGCAATCATGACTGGAGGTATTGACGGGGACCAAAATGTGCTACATGATATGTGGAAAGTCATGTGGAACGAAACGGAAGTTATTGTAGAGCAAATCACACTCCATCCACAGGTCAAGCGATTGCTATGGAGGTTTGGAGCACAGCTCGTGAAAATAAGCGACATGGAGTTATTGCTCATTGGAGGTGTATCTGGAGGTTCGCTCATGAGGACGCCTGAAACAATTGTGACCATAGATGTTAGCAATGATATCAGGGTAACTGGCACGTATGCAATTTCTATAGAGCTTTCACCACTATTAGTGGGCTTCACTGCAGGCCTTATCAGAGGTACGCTAGTACTCGCAGGGGGTGGAGCTGTCTGTTTCGGTTTTGGAGCGGAGTGGAATACAAATGTATTGGCTGTATCAAGGAACGCAAACCAACTTGAGGCATTGCTATCACAGGCCACGCGTGAAGTGGATGGCCTGATTACGGAATCTCCAGCAATATTCGAGAGGAAATTTGAAGGCTGCCAAACGACATATGGTACACCTTCACTGAATGGTATATTGAAATCTCTTTCTCATTGCAGAGATATCCTGCGAGTACGAATAAACTCTGGTGAGGATTTTGCCGCTCTTATTGCCAATGGTGAACCCGCTATCCTCGAGGGGATACGTTTTGGCACCTGCGTGGAGAAATGGAATTGGGAGTATCTCAAAAAACGTGTTGGCGAGGACAGGCAAATCATCGTTCACTCTTCAACAACTTCCCAAATGTCTTTCACCACCAAAAACTTCACCTACGAAAAAACAACTTTTGGCGCTTTCATCAACGCTATCTCCTCTGCCCCTTCCTCCGCCTCACAGCCTGGCCTATACCTCCGCTCTATCTCCGCCAGCTCCCCAGCGAAACAGCCTGCGAACTTGGAAATAGATTTCCCAGAGCTTGCATGTGATTTCAACCTCCCATCGGAATTGAAGTTTGTACAGGACAATTTACATTCGTCCCCGCTGAGGATTAGCTCTGCGGATGTGGGAATGTGGTTACATTTTGACGTAACCGCGAACGTTCTATTCCATGTAGTGGGGGCAAAGAGGTTCCGCTTATGGCATCCTCATCGAGCATTGGAGCTAGGGTTCCCTCCGGGGGGAAGTAGTTCTGCTACTATCCTCAATCCTTTTTCTGACCTTAGCATCACCGCTACCACAACTGCGAGTGAGCGGGCGAAGTTTGTACCGCCAGATTACGATATCCTCCTACACCCCGGTGACGCGATCTTCATCCCACCAGTTTTCCCGCACGCAGCGCTGCCTGTCACGCCGTGTGTGGCGGTAAATGTGTTTTTTAGGGATCTGGATAGGGAAAGGTATGCGCCTGGGAAGGACGTTTATGGAAATCGGGATTTGGTGGCGTATGAGAGGGGGAGGCAGGTGCTGGGGAAAATAGTGAGGGAGTTTGAGGGGTTGCCTGAGTGGGTGAGGAGGTTTTATTTGGAGAGATTGGGGGCAGAGGTTATTGAGAAGGCGAGGGAGGGGTGGAATAGTGGATAGTGGAGAGGTTTGAAAGAGGTAGGGGAGGGAGTGTGTGGCAGGGAAAAATGTTCTAGATTGCAGGATAGATAGAGATGCAAAAAAGTAGTCTGGTTGCAAAAAAGATTAGAGCATGTCGCTCGGCGAAGGTGACTACGAAAGTGTATCTGTTTCCGGCCTGCCGCTAGTTAAATGATCTTCCTATATATTTGTACATGCTGTATGAAGCCAGTAGCCTACACTAACCTGAACAGGAAATAACTACCGCACATATTTTCAGGGTAACACTTGACCAACCACTTTCCCCCATCCCATCTGCAAGCCAAATTTCCCTCTTGCATAAAGTACCATATTTCTTCTCTGTTACAGAACCAGCCAACCGCCTTGTGTATTTATATATATATGGAGAGGGGTAAAAAAACAAAAGAAAAAGAGATTTGTGACAAGAGTGGGACTTGAACCCACGCAGGTTTCCCTACCAGGATATTATATGTTTATATGCTAAGGATAAGTTTTTTTTCCTTAACCTGGCGCCATAACCAACTCGGCCATCTTGCCTGATGTGTGATGGGGTAGCTAATGGCTAATTACATAGTTGGGTATGGTGATGGTGTAAGTGGTTATGGTGGGGTGAGTTGGCTTTTTTTTTTTTTTTTGTTATATATGTATGTTAGTGGAAGGGAAATATATATAATGTGATGTCCCTGTTTATATTTGTTGTTTTAATGAGTATGAGTAGAACCTAGCTGGTGTAGTATATAGCATTTGCTAATAATACAACTGCCATTATTTTTAAAATTTTTTTTAATATTAACCTAACTATGGTTTTCTTGTTCTCGTGTTGCATATTGCTAAAGAATGGATACGAAATTCATCGAATCTAAAAATCCACTTCGATACCTTATATCTCTCGAGCTTATCTCCTTTTATCTGGGAGAGCTATACAATTAGGGTATGCTTATGTAATTTTTACATCGATTGTCATGAGCCAGATTGCCGAATATTTATGTCCTGAATTCATTTGGCATGGGTAGTGATCATCATCTAGATTAACTATTATAAAGAGGCTTGTCTCCATCGACAGCGGGTTTATGCAGTCCAACAACTACGATCGAAAAATTGGAGCATTTAGGGAAGGGCAATTCATTGCTCCTTTCTCTCTCTCCCACCCAACCTCCTCCCTTCGCCTTCAGCTCTCTCATCATTCCCCTTCCTAGTCCCCCACCATACACCAACAACCGTCACCGCCAACACACTCTCAACTACTATGCTACTCGCTTTCGTACTCGGGTATACATTCCATGCCCATTCCTGCCCCGCCCATAAGGCATAAATCACTATGGGGTGGAAGTTGGCTTTGTATAGAAGATACGGCGTGCCCCATGCAACCCAGCTGTAGAACTGATAGTGCAAGCTTCTTGCACAGAGGACACCAATCAAGTTTGATGTCAGGATAGTAGTTGCGATAAACCTAGGTGTAACTCTTTGCGAGAGCTGGTATGCATGTAACGAGCGGGGTGAGCCTTGCTGGGGAAGATCCCAAGAGAGTAGATATGTAATTATAAACGCTCGTAGGGGCAATCTAGCTGGCCGGATCCACCTAGTTGCTACAAAGAACCCTAGAATCGCAGCATGCGCAGCGAGTAACCCATAACTCAGCTCCTTGCTTAAAAACCATTCTCGTCCAAGGAACCGCCAGTTTACAGTCCATTTCCAGAGGAAGACTCGGGAAAATTCGAAGGCTTTGGTGAGGTAACTTTTAGCATTTGTGCTGATGAAGGGCCAGGCGAGGATGACTTGAGCTTGGAGCATAATACTTGCTTGACCGAGGGCGCGGTCCCGGCCGAGGGCATGCAGGAGGACGATGCCGATGCCAGGGAGGGCGAGGAGGGTATTCATTTTTATGGAGACGGAGAAGGAGTATAGAAGGGAGCCGAGAGTCCACCACCGGTGTTGGTAGGTGAGAAGAGCGAGAAAGAAGAAGAGTTGGTTGAAGGCGTCGTTGAAGAGGCGGAGGATGTAGATGGAGTGGAGGCGCTTGGAGAGGATTAGGAGGGGAAGAACATATGGTGGGGCCTGTTGTTCGTATCACATCGATTTCGTCAGCTGCCTTACTTGCTCATCCTCACTCGGGGGAGAATTCGGGAGTTTGGTCTACATACCTTCGCCTTGATATAAACCACCAACACCACCACCAGCATCAATAAATAAAGCCCCAGAAACACACACTGCGCCTTCCAAATATCCCTCCCCTGATCCGTAATTTTATAAAGCCAGCTATACACATAGACATGCCCTGCAGGATACACCAACGGGCCTGTCCCGCCCTTGAGCTTTACGTAATCCAATTCTCCATCGAGATAGAGTGCGACTTGTTCCATATACGCCTTCCAGTCGATTTCTGTGTCTAAGGGAGCAGAGGTCAATGAATTGGGTACAGTTGCAAGTGGGAAGGGGCCGGGTGCGGAAGGGGGGGGGGGATTTGTTACATGGGATTTTGAGGAGGATGAGGCTCGAGAGGAAAGCATCGGCGAGGAGGAGTAGTGGGGCGAGGTATTTAGAGTATTTGGGGTCTGAGACGGCCGCGGTTGGGGACCTGACGAGGCCCATTTTTTGTGGGTGGGGAACTGTGGGGGAGCAGCTGCTGTTTCTTTGCTACGTCGCCAGCTTTCGAGTTGTACGAGCATCACGGTGCCAAGAGCGCACAAGAAACTATTCCTTGTCTCATCTACAGATGGGGCTGGGGGGTCCCCTGCTGTCGGAATATTAAGTCTGCCGTAGATTGGACAGTTTGTGCAGGAGATCACCAAAAATGAAGTACCGCACAGTACCGGCACTCTACATCTACATAACACTACTGTACCTACATACTACGATACATCCCCGTCGCATCTGTTCTCGCCCCTTGATCTCCAATGCAAGTCTTAAATTTGTTTTGCCTTCGTGTCACTTTCCCTTTTACCGTCTTTGCCTGTACCTTGCTCGAGAATAATACAAGCCTTTGTAGCACCAGAACTCTATATGGCCTTATCTCGCCATAATAATAACCCATACAACTCGTCTCCATCTTCCTTTTCTCCACGGGCTTTTCCCTATATATTCAAAGTCCCTCGAACTGCTGCTAGGCAGTCTGGTTATCCGTCCTGAAGCCTTCCTTACACGCCAATTTGCATACAGAAGAAAAGTATTCCCATCTAGTTTACATCGTTTTTCAACCCCCACTCTCTTTAGGGATTCACTAGAATCTCTGCAGTACTCTCGAGCCACAGTTGCACATCTCTTCGAGCGGAAAAGAAACATGTATTCGTCTGACGAAGACGAGCCTGACTTGGACCTTCTCGCACTCCTCAGGTCGCACCTGACTTTGAAAAGCAACAAATCACCCAAAGTCGATACTCGTGCCCTCCGTGATGCAGAATACATCGCCGATAATGCGATCGATGTTGCCTTGCAGAGGGAGCATATCATTGAAGCCGCGGACTCAATCTGGTTCTCTATGCAGGAAAAGGGATACTCCACGGAAACGTGGTCGGAGCATGAGATTCATCCAAAGGAGAAGAATGAAGAGACACTCAACTTCATTTTCACCCTGGACTTGCTGAATTTTAGTTTCTGGTCGGAATTGAATCACGAGAAGAGATTTAGTATTCAATACAGGGGAAAGAAGTGGACGGGGTATTGGAGTATTGTGGCAACGTTGCAGAGGGCGTTGGATGAAGGTATATCCTTCCTCCACACTAGCTGTAGGCTTGAGAAACATTTACTGAAGGTTTTTAACACAGGAATACCCATAACATCTCCATACTTTTGGGTCGATGAGCAAATCTGCCCCGACGAATTGCTACGGCATGTTTTCCGGTCCGACAGTGAAGAGGATATTCCCCTACTAGACGACCGAATAGCCTGTTTACGGGAGGCTGGAGAAGTCTTGTGCAAGGTAAAGCCCCAGGATTTGTCCCCTATCCCCTTGCGAATAAGAAGACTGAAATTGATAGAGATATGACGGACGTTTTGCACACATGGTTACCGAAGCCAACGAATCCGCTTCTGCGCTAGTCATGCTCCTGGCTGAGAATTTCCCTTGCTTTGATGATTCTCATCAATGGGTACCTTCTGGCGGGACCGCAAGGACCGTACATTTCTACAAGCGGGCTCAAATACTCGTTGCAGGTAATAACCTACTCTTCACTACTACCTAAAATCCCAACTCAACTAACTCAATCCTCATCCCGCCAGATATCTGGGCCTGCTTCAACAAAACCTCCTACGGCACCTTCAATGACATTTCCACGATCACCATGTTCGCAGACTACCGCGTCCCCGTAATCCTACATTACCTCTCCTGCCTCCGGTACTCCCCTCCTCTAACCTCCCACATCCATAATCTCATCCCCATCCCCACGGGTCACTCTTTCGAAATTCAAATCCGTGGATGCTCGATATGGTGCGTCGAGATGATAAAACGAACAATCGAGCGCAGACACCCGGAGAGTAGAGGACGGATAAACTCGATCTTGATCGATTTCTATCTGTACGATACGGCGAAGGAGATGGAGAAGAAGGCGATTGAGAGGGAGGAGGAGGAGAAATGGAGGAATGTGGAGGAGAATATTCCGATGGGAGATCTGAGGAGGGTGTTTGGGGGAGCGTTGGAGGTGGGGAAGAAAATGAGGAAGGGGGGGAATTGGGAGGATAGGGATGGGGTAGAGAAGGGGGCGATGATTCCCCACCATAGGACGAGAAGTATTTGGTATTAGATTACTGGATTCCATGCTTGAGTGGGGGGGTAGTCGGATGGGCGGTAATGGGTCCTGGAAAAAGCTTAATGGGTTTAGAGTTTAGATTTCTGCTTGCCTTGCTTGCCTGTTTGCTTTTGTTCATGAAGTGGGTGTTTGGGCAGTATGGCGGATGCAAAAGGCGAAATGTATAGATCCTGTAATATTAGGTTCAGATGCTTTCAATTCTCAGCTTATTTCAATACTTGAAAGTAATTGTTTTTGCAGAGAATATATTAGATATCCGTATTCGTATTCGTTACCGTAGAAATTCGCGAATAAGACGGTACCTGGATATCAGATCCTAACTCGGGCAATGCACTGTATATGACACTGTATTACAGAAAAAAAATTGTAGTACGCGGCCCAAATAAGGGGTTCTAAAAAAAAATTTTTTTTAACCTCTTCATCACGAAGATATTATCAAGGAGCAATTATAGACTGGGAGTTGAGGGTAATGAGTATGGGTAAACTCTTTTCTAAATTTTTTTTTTTTTTTACCGTTATAGGTAGGGGATTTGAGGACTTTGTTGAGAATATATATATATATATATATATACATGGTGGAACTGTTGGAGAAGGGGAGATAATTCCCCGGCCTTCCCCCCCCCCCCCCCCACCCCCCCACCCCATCACCCCATCGGTACTTGATATCTATCAAAGTTACACTCTAACAGCTTTCATGCTGGGTATACAACTGAGTGATTTTTAGTATCCTCACCGTTGTATATCATTTTCGGTGCGACAATGTAACTAGGCTAGCTAGCTACTTCTAAGTATCAT